GAGGATTATGGGAAACCGTTCAGAGCCTGGCTTGCTGGATTTAATGGGAAGGGCACAGCTGGGCTGCCCTCCCCCAGCCCTCCCCTCCCCCACCTCCAACCTGCCAAATAAAAAAGGAACTCTAGTTGCTCAGGAATCTGCACTGGCCATTTTTAGATGCTTGTGCTAAATAAGAACTGAGTGAGAAAGCACAGGAGCTCTTTTAGTTGCTTCCATCTTAGGGTGGCAGGATGGTGGGGACGGATGGACACACTGGTGCCTGGCTGCAGCATCATTCACATCTCCGTTGTCTTCTGTCAGCGGCTGTCACTTCCATGCTGGGGGAATTTTAAAATAGCTTCTCTGTATAAACTGACTAAGAAGTGACTTACCCAGCCAGTGAGAAAGCTCTTCGGCTGATTTTATCTCTATGCATCCTTTTCTCCATTTCTAGCTACCCCACCCCATCTCCACTCTTCACCTGGTTTTCAGTTTGCTCCCCTTGGGCTCTCAGCTCTCCGTGGCACTGAGCTCTTAAGGCAATATTTGAGGATTCCCCCTTCCTTGCAAAATTTCTCCTAAAGAAACTGCCGCAAATGACATTTTCCCCATACATTAAAGAATGAAAATACAAGAGGATGTCACAAATTTGCATGTGTGCACTTCCATACATAATTTCGGGGAATTGGAAAAAAAATTCTGAGAATTCCATTCCTGCTTGTGTTCACATTTAGAGCTGTGAATAAGGCATGTTTTGTAAACAGGAAAAAAAAATATTATACATCCCTATTTTGTACTGAGATTTTTCTATTTCAAATATTTTTAGAACTGTGCAGTTAGATGAAGGTTATTCTTATTCTTATTCGGCTTGCTGTAGAGAAAGGGAAGGCGTTTTACTGGCCTGGCGTCTTCACTCTGATGTTGACTTCGCATAGGAGCGTAACCCCCTGCCCCGCTGGGTGCTTCCAGATGGAAGGGCTAGCGTGCAATCACCTGCCTTATTCACAGAACTGTATGGTGTAACCTTCCCAGACTTTCTACTGTCTTTTTTTCCTGCTAACAGAAAACCTGTGAAGGATGGAAAAGCTACACAATGTCTTTTGATTGCACTGCGCTTTATCCTTTTCCTTGCTGATTTCATCTGTTCATTGCTTAAATTTGTGGTGGACTGTAAGCCTGTTTGTGCAGAGTTCCTCTTTTCCCTTTTCTGGGATATATAGTAAATTGCACTTTCAGCTTCTGGTAGAAACTGCTGAATACCCCTCCTAATCTTATTTAAATATCAATATTTCCCCATTTCCTTAAAAACCATGTAGGGGACATGCTGACCAGGTTCATGGAGGAGATACATCCTCTGTCAGCTTAGGATGAGTAAATGTTTAACAGGAATAAACCATGTTTGAGATTCATGCTCTCGAATTCATTATGCTAAGAAAAATGCATTTTAAAAGATGCATTCAAATCACTCCACAAATTTCTGACATGAAGCAGCACTGAATCCCAAAGCCCTACCAGCAGGACAGAATGTACTCCCAGCTCTGGCCTCAATCCAGTCTACACTTCCGCCATCCCTTTTAGTTAGCGTTACTCTACCAAAGGCAAAATATAATTGATAACTTGCACAGCCTTCCATGCACAGAAACCGGTCCCACGGAAGACATTGCTTCATCTACGATGGCCTGTTTTCATGATTACCTTATGCTTGTGTGAAAAGGTTAAGCCAGCTCAGCCTTCTAGTATGTTGGCCTGCAACTCCCATCATGGCTGGGGATGGATGGAAACTATGGTCCAACATATCTGGAAGGCTCTGATGGAAGAAGGATGAGCGACTGCATACTCACATGCTTGTATAAAGAAATGTTGATTTTGCTGTGGGAATTAATTCCAGTGTCTCACTCTTAAACATGCACACACAACTATACTCAAAAATATTTTCTTTCCCTGTCTCTGCAGTGAGGATATAAGTGACAGATTCCCTGATTGCATTGACTCCTTTCTTGAAGTACTCAGAAGGAAAAGGTGGAGAGAATAAGCTATTTTAAGAGTGGGCTATTTATATTAATTAAAGTATAAAGAAGGGACAAGTAGGACTAAACATAATGGTGACAACTGGCTAAACAAGTTGTAAAGCCCTCCCCGTTGCCACATGTTCATTATTGATACAGAACTGAGCCTGTTTCTCATAATCGCTTTCAAAAGGGAGTTAAACCTTCCAAGTGAACATCAATGCCTTAAATGTGACACTGCCACTCTTGTTAACTTACAGTCACCATTTCTATTAAAATGCTGTACAGCCAGAATGGTCAATAAAGGCAGCAGATGAAAGCAGAGCATTAATCCAGTCTTTCCAGTCTGCCTTACAAGCAGATTTAAAACCTGAGTGGACACGTCTGGGCTCTTGGATGTAACCTTAAGTTCAGGTGCAGTCCTCACATTAAGGATTATATCAAGTTGTGGCCTGTGCTTACTCAAACATCCAACAATCCTTTGCAATGGTGAGTTTCCCTATTCTGGACATTGTTTTTACCTTATTGCTCTCAAGTATGGGCAACTGAAGATGAATGTTTGCTTTTTGCTAATGACATCAACAGGGCTTTTACAGGCAAGGCTGCCATGAATTCTAATGAAAGAAGTCTCATATGACAATTGGAAAACAGGTGCACAAACTATGCTTGATTGGAATATTGGAAAAGACTTTTGCTGTTTTTTATTGGTTGACCCATAAAGGTTTGTGCAAATTTATCTGTGCTTCAATTTTACTGTCTCTACCTTAATGACAGTAATGTCTCATTAAGACATGTCTCCATTTTCACATATTGATCTCTCTTCTGATAGTGCCTCCACCCCAGTGAAAGTATAAAAATATAATGTCCTAAGTAAGTTTTAAGTAACTTTTAAGCAACCGGGTCATGACAAAACAACAGATCACACTATATGAAGAATGTTAAGCACTGGTAGGAAAGTAATCACAAATCACTGTTATGAAGCCACCATGAAAAAAAGAAACATGAAAATTTAATCAGAACCAATTCTCAGTGGTGGCAAGTAACTACTCCCCTAAGAATCAGCTAGAATCTGCCTGGAGAATAGAGCAGTGGAACTCAAAAGCTTGCATGATGTTTTCTTTACAGAGAGGTTGGTCCATTAGTCAATCCCACAATCCAGCTAATGTTAGTCATAACCAAGTCCCATTACAGCAGATGGAATATGTTAAGTCACAGTTAACTTAAAGCTTGCTTTCAATTGGAATTTTGTAGGGTCTGTGCCACATCTATATGCTTTAAATCCTTCCTTGAATAGGTTCACAGAGCAGCAGCTCCCTCTACCAAGCTTCCCTTCCTGATGAAAGATTATATTTTACAGGTATACAGTTTCAAATATTTGTAATTGAAAGGCAGTACCTAATGGACTGTGACTAGCAAGTTCATTACCTTGTTAATAAGACAGTAGAGCAAACAGCGCCACCTAAAGGCAATAAAGTTCCTTTGCAATATCTTCCAAAAAGTCTACAATTCTAAATGATGTTTGCTTTTCCATGTGTACAAACTCGCTGTTATTTGAACTGCCTGGCTTTCCAAATTCAGAATATAGCCTCATGACTGGTTTCTGCACAGATATTGTCATTCCACAGTGCAAAAAAATCCCAGCTGGTGTGTGTCTTAGAACGAAGCCCATTCCTTTCCACTTTGAGTTTCCAGAGTATTTGAGTTCTAGCACCTGGTACCATGTCACCACCATGCCAGTTTAGCTTGCTTTCTCCACTGACAGTTGCCACAAGAGATTTTGCCTTCCTGATTACATAAAGAGGATGTGTTACACACTGATGAGACTGGATAATCCACCTACTGAGCCAATGCCCAGGCCTGGCTTGCTACAAAAAGCAGCAGTGTTGATTCTAAGCTGATTCCAAGTTGATTCCATGTCACTTCCTTTGAATCAGGCCTCAAGAGTGGTTCCACAATGATGGCTCCCACACATTTTCTGTAGAAAACTGACTCACACCATTTTTCAAATATGCCTGTGGGTGGTATATTCATTTTCCCCAAGCAAGCAAGAAAGTGAGATGTAAAGTAATCCTTTAAGTGGAAGTAGAATGGAGAGTGTAATAAAGATGAAGGCACGACCAGGGACCACCATAGTGCAGGAGAGAGGAAAACAGGGTGAAGTGAGTCTGAATTACCCGTAATGAAAACGACAGTACTGCCACTTCAGCCTTTTGCACACTCATCTGACAGCCCCACTGGAATGAAGGAGGCTTTCTTCTGAGTAGGCCTGGAGAGGGTTCTGCTGAAGGTGTAGACATATGGTGGAAAACCCATTCATTGCCTTGCCCGCTGCAACTCTGCACCCTTCTGTGAGGTGGATTGCAATCACTTTTGAGCAAACTCTTGTGAAATAGAAAGCAAAGCAACAGGAGATGGGTTAAAGTTTTGGACCAATTTGGAACAGTGTATTAAAAGGATGCTGGGCAACCAGGAAGGGCAGGCCATTGCCGCAAGCCTTACTTGTCAGAGCATGAAGAAAGATCTAGCTGCCTCTGCTGAAGACAGAATTATAGGTACGTAGATGGGCTACAGTCTCATCAAGCCAAATACTACTTATGTTCTTACACTCGAGGCACACATCTGCTGATTTAATGTATGCCTAATTCCTCAGATGACCAGATTCAGGGAGCAGCAAAGGCACTCTTTCAAATGTCAGTGCTGTGAAAGTTTCCTGAAATACTGAGCTAGAGGGACCATTGATCAGACGCAGGATGCCCTTTACGCAAGGCAACCATGGAAAGTTGGACTTTGGAGGTCTCTCTCCTTACACGAGCACTTTGACGAGGCAGCCACACAAAGGGCATGGCTTTCCGCAGAAGAACTTGCCAGTACCATTCATTTTCTGCCATGCCAACAACAGCAATGAAAGAAAACATCTTGGGATGAGGAAAAAGGGCACGGAAATGACAAGACTTTTTCTGAACTTCTTTACAATTTGTTCTTCATTCTCACAACATAGTCAGACAAACAAAGCAAGAGTTTTTACACTGTCTATTAAAACCAAGCAACTGGAATACATACACAGTAAGTCATGTGTATAAAAGGTGAAAGCATATGCAGAGAGCGATTTGTAGAGAACGCACATACATTGTATGTGATATGGCAGAGAAGCCAGCAGTGGGTGCTGCTGTTCCGTGAGACAAAGATTCGCCTTACAATATACTTGTCAAACAATTTGGCACAGTTTTTAAAAAGGAATAGACTTTTGGGGCAAATTTCAAGCTTCTATCTACTTAGAAGGACAGAATCCAAAGGATCATTTATTTTTACAACCCAGCCTTGCGTCTTCTGAACATTTAATAAGCCAAAACCAACACACTTGACACTTTCTGAGTGTCACAAACTGTTGTCTTGGGGTTGCCATAATAGAATGTAGCTGTCCTGTCATGGTGTATATTTCAGAAGGATGATGCTGTACTCTTCATAACAGTGGCATGATTCCTATTAGATTTCACAATCTATCTTTAAGCCAGCCTTTTCCAACTTGCTTCTCTCCACATATTTCAGACTACAGTTCCTCTCTTCTTTACCCAGCAGCCATGCTGATCAAGGCTGCTCAAAACTATCACTATGGACTATTGATGACTCTGTCACAAAATCCACTTACAGGTGAGTTTTGACAAAAATGCCACCAAATACACCAGTCCTAGGCGATTATCAATCTGTTCCAGACTACCTGTGCATACATGCAATTACTACTCAGCTCTTAATTGTACAAGAGCTCTGTGTGGCTGAATGTTCCTCAGAAAGCTGCAAAGTATAGGTGGAAATGCAGGGACACTTTGGCTTGAAGCAACCAATCGGCAGGAATTATAACTCCCTTCCATCACTAACAGGTGGAGACATAAGGAGGCCAGTATCTGCGGTGCTGCAGTCAGGGGACATGACAGCTACGCTGCAGACCAAGGCGACTGTGTCTCTTTGGACTCTCTGTGCCAAGCTGCTACCCTCTAAAGCCACTGAAAAAATGTTCAGGAAAAATAGCACTTCCTTTAGAGTCAAACAGTGATCCTGCTCCCATTGCAACTGTGTTCAAATATTTCCACACACAGCAGCCCATGACTGAAACAGGGACTTGCAATGCCACACTGTTCGTCAGAAGGATTAATATAGATTTACATGTCCACACTGCAAGCATAGGAACCCAAGTAGGGTGGCAACCAATCTTCTCCAGAAAGAATGCAAGCAAAAGGGCAGGACCCACTGCTAAATACAAAGACTCTGGCAGCATAAACAAAAGAGCTGCTGGTGGCCACCTCTTTTTTTTTTTTGTTTTTTTTTTTGTTTTTAAGCCCGTTCCAATTTGCTCTGCTCCCTCTTTGGCAGGCCAGCCCTTGCATCTTCACACACACCTTCTCTGCTGCCCAAATGCTGGAGACAGAGGCATGCAATTATGGGAAGATGCCCGTAACATTCATTTAGGGTACTTTTATCAACAATCCACATGTGCAGGTTGCAGCTCTCAGCTAGTCCCTCCAGGATGAAAGGAAGCATAGGGGGGATCGCCTACCGCCATGCTAAAGTATTAACACCGGCTCTCACCAGCACAACAGAATGCTCTGAAAGCACTCATCACTATTCTATGGCTGCAGCTAAACAGGCCTGGACCTGAATTCCCACTGGCAGATACATCTCCACATTCATACAGAAGCTGTTCCAAGCCTACCCAATGCTTTGCAAACAGGAAGCTGGAGCGAGGCCTCCCTCGGTTAAAGTCCATCCACTGCACTGAGGTGAGGAGTGTGTGGTCCAACTATACCTGGAGGGTGACAGCTTCCATCACTGCTGATCACTGGCCATGTCAGCAATGGCTGAGTGGGGTTGTGGTCCACAGGTTCCTTATGCAGCACCGAATTGGCGCTCCATTTGTCCATACCAGAAAGGTTATTGGTCACATTTATACAGGTGGATTATGCCCAAAGCTCTATCTCATGTGACACAGTGGATCAGAGTGTCAGACATGGACCCAAGAGATCTGGGTTCTGGTCTCCACTAGCCATGCAGCTTCCTGAGGGGGTGGTGGAGCAGTCCTGGGCTCTCACAGGGTTGTTGCTGTGAGGGTAACATGGAGAGAAGGAGAGCCACCTTGGTTTCCTTGCAAGAGGAACAAAGGCAGGGTATAAATGCAATGTAATCATAATCATAATAATATCCACAGTCACTTCACATCATACTATTCTCTCTCACACACAACTTTTAATGATTTTGCATTAGGGAACAGTAGTTACTCACATGGGTGCCAGCCTGGATCAAATTCCAGCAAGTATTCAGGCGTGTTTTGTACAATTATGTTGCAAAGACTTTCTTTGCTCTGCATGTCTGGGTTCATGAGTGAACACGTACTCTCATTTACAAGAAATATTTGTATGAATATGTGTGTGCAGTCAGCACCACTGGCCTTTGCGTAATGAGACTGATTGGGAAAAGATCTCAATTTTAGGTTTGAATTTGGACTGGTTGTAAAAATCAGTGCATTCCTGGATTCTAAAATCCACTATGCCCCTTTAATTTCTGCTACTTTAGAAGAAATCCTAGGCAAGGACCAAATTATCACACTAAGCCCAGCTCAAGACCACTGTACAATTTACATTTATATACAGTATATTAAACATTTTCTTCAAGTCCAAGCAACCCTCAAAATTTAAATCATCAGTAGCTGTCCAGTTTTCTTTCCAAAATGTAATGTTCTCCTTTTTCCTTTTCTTCTGCAAGGTAGAAAATAACAGCACTATAAGTAGACCAACTTCCATCCCTCTTCCATTTGTTTTTAAAAGTGCAAATGTTGTGGCTGCCATTTCTGCTACACTGGATGTTGCCAGTCCCACATGAGCGTTTTCAGACAGCAGTGTGTCCTGTCCCTTCTTCCTTCAATCCTTCTGTGCCATGCCATCCCATCCGCTCCTAGACAAGACGTCCTACTAACATAGTGGAGTGATAGAGAGCAGAACATGCGGAATTTGAGGGAGAGGAGAAACAAAAAGTGACAACTCTAATTAAAATCATATTGTAGGTAATTAATAGGTTTCAAGACAGGTTCCCATAAAAATAACTAATGGTTCCTGGGAGGGCAATATTTTCGTAACAGCCAGCAAGCCTGACAAAAGGGTGGGGTGAGGGGCTAGGACAGTTATGCGATAATCTCAATAATCTACCTTGGCTACAGATCCACACACAGACAGCTTGCTTCTGCACAGCCTTTCCCAGTACTTTGTATTTCTAGTCTGCATTTTTAAGATCAATATGAAATGCCCAGACCAGAAGCTTTGGGATTTCTAAAAAGAGATGCTGTTAGGAATCCCTACAAGTCATTCCTTGGGGCTGGCATACCTTCCTCTTAATCTGAGGTATATAGGGAACAGATGGCAAGTATGAAGAGCTGAAGCCTCAGACTGAAATCAGATCCTGAAGCATTATGCCCAGTGCCTGAGATCAATACCCGCATGCAGAATCCTGGAGAGAAATGCTGGCTGACCCAAGGAGCAGTCATTGCTCCCTCCCCAGGTCAGGAGGCAAATGCGATTGCATATACCAAATAGCAGTTGAGGTCTCCAGGCATCTGCAACAAACAGGGCTACCATTTCCCCATCTCTGAACAAACCAGGAGCTTGGAAGAGCTCATCCAGCCTTGCTGCTGGATGACAGCTGGAAGCATCTTTTATCAGCCACACCTAGGCTGGAAAGCCTTGCTCCTTCTGAAGAGAGGAGCAGCCTCCCTGCACTGAGCCAAGAGACTTTGATGCATCGAGGATCAGCTCCTGTGGTGCCTGCTGGGAATGGAAGGGGCAGTTATTCTTGGCACACACTCCAAGGTTAGGCAGCTGACAAGGGGCTCCAGGAGCCAGAATTCTCAGATGCTGAACGGAAGAAGCAAGGGGCATATCTCAAAGGAACGCTCCCCGGTGTCCAGGCTATGGACACTGTGCATAGTCAGTATTTACAACTGCATGGAGTGGGAGTGAGAAGAACTCCTGCAGCCGGCTGAGCCTGGCACGACTCTTGATCCCATGGCATGACTGACTAAAAGGGAGGTGGGCAGTGGTGAGGCTTGCCTGCTTCCAAAAGGGCCAACCCACAAGCATTCACTGTTGGTTGTGCTTATGGAAAGTGCACTGGAGAATAAAGTGCTTTTGCTTTATTTTGCTGAATTGTCTGCTGTTTTGGAAGTGCAAAGGGGGAACAGAGCTTGTGACGATGCCCTCTGCATTAGACTGACCTTGAAACAGGCTCCAAAACTGCAGCTAGTGAATAAATCTGCTTGTCCCTTGATGAATGGGAACATACTTTCAAATGAAAATATATCTGGCCATATGGTGTGCATTGCAATTTGCAGCAACTGCACTGGCCAGCAGTTTGCTTCTAGTTTGGATTCAGAGGGCTGGAGGTTGCGCTTCAACCCTTCACCAGCCTGAGTCTGCTCACACACCCCAAACAAGGCTCGCCTCTTCGACCTGCGCCTGCTCTTCACCACTGCAGGCCGCTTGTTCATCTGGCCTGGACAGCGGAGGTCATGGGGAAGAGGAGCAGAACAGGCCACTGCATTTGCTCTTTGGCTCGCTGCACGTCAAGCAAGCAAATGGTGGCAGTGATGCAGGAGGTGACAGCAGGCAACAGGAGCCGGTGGCAGCGGCAGCGGGCGGAGAAAGGAAGTGGGTCTGCTGGGGGTGTCTTGCCCGAGGACACTCAAGCCCCTGCTCGCCACCATGCTGGCTGCCACAACGCCGGTCCCCAGGTCAGCGGCAGCCTCTGGAATGCCCTCCCAGACAAAGTGCAGACGGCTTCTTTCTCATCGTTTCCAGAAAGGATGTAGGTCTTTTTAATTCTGCAGGGACTTGGATTCTTGAGATTTTCTGATTTTATTTTCTGCCTGTCTGGGGCCATTTTTATTATGATTTTTGCTGATTTGTGAAAGTTATTGGATTTTTTTGTGATCTTTTCCCCCTTTGCAAGTAACGTGGGCTGTGAAAAGGCAGCATGCAGTTGCTTTAAATAAAATGCAGGAAATAAATAATGGCAGAGATACCCGCATGATGAATTTGGGTTGCCTTATACAAGCCATCTTTCTCGCCCAGTAAGTCCCTAGTCACATCCCTAGGACTAACATTTTTCCTACATAGAGGGCCGTGTGATGGATAGCTGTGGATCTAAAACTCAAAGGAGCCAGGCTGCTTTGGCCCACATTCAGTCCACATTAAGCAGCATGGTCTGTTGCACCACACTTATGCATTCCATTTTATCACCTGGCCTTCCACCTGCTTGTTCGGAGGTGGAGTTTATCAGGAGCTCCTGTCCTGGTGGTGCCTCGGGTAGCAGAGCATTGATCCACGGTGACAGTTCAGAAAAGGATCTCCAGCATCACAGCACCACTCTCTGGAGCTCACCCACAGTACAAAACACTGTACTATATTTGGTGCCTATGGAAACCTTAGTGGTTCCTGCAAGCGTTCCCAGAAGAGTCTTCTTGTTTTCCTGAGTTTTACAAAGTATTTTACTATTTATGCATTACTGTTGTGTAGTGCTTAGACGTGCCTTTTTAATGTGATTCATAAATAAGAGAAAAATAGTTTTGGGACTTCACTGAACTTATGTGATTTGTTATAATATTGTAACTTATGTGCACAATATTATGGCAAGTTACAGACGTATTAATACTATCCTATAACCTGAATATTTAAATAGAGCACACCATTATTCGGAAAAGTGTTTTACCAAATCAAGTGTAGTTTGAGGGAGAATGGAAATGGGAGTTATCTTCTTTCCAAACCTCCTTGAGCTAATTCAAGGAGACCCAACTTCCCAAGCGGTCATGCTAGGTTAGCTGTCTGAAGTGTTTTAAAGTGAAATCAACTTGTGTTGTCTGAAATACCTGACCAAGAAAGATCCGGGGACTGTGGAGAGTAGGAAAAAGAATTACAGAAGCTACTTACTGAAAGGATTAACACCTTGTCTTTTTCCATGAGGGAAATGGCCAATGCTGCCTGAAAAATACAAAGAACATCCTTTGTCCAGTTAATTCCAAGAATTATGAGTGCTGAGAAGGCAGTAGCACTGGCCTGCCAGTGACAATAACTGAAATCCTGCAAGCAGGTCATGAAGCAGAAGGTGGAAGTTTATGTCCCTCTGGGCCAAGGCATTTTGGCCAATCAAAAAAAGCTGGGCTGTGTTTTCAATAAATACGCTCATTAATATGATGGATTTAAGTACAAACAGATACTCAAGCCAATGCGTCACGTGTAACATTGGGTATATTTTTTGATAACCCACAACTAGAGAATGATTCATGATTCAAAGAATTTCAGAAAGGTAACCATCTCCCAGAGGAATCACAGGTGGCCTGTTGGCTGGACATCTAAATGAATTTGGTGTACATCTCCCCACAGGAGTGGTCAAGAGCCTTTTCCAAGTCAGTGGTAATACATCAGTGTCCACTGAAAGAAAAACTGGACAACTCTGGGCAGCTCCTAAGCAAAAAAATACACTTTCCTGTTAATAAAGGACCTCTATTTTCATTCTGCAACCTGACACCCCCTACACTGACCACACAGAAAAGCCTCCCACCATGCTTTCCTTCTGGTTTCCTTGGCTTTCAAGTGATTGGTTCCAAAGAAGCTTTTAGGGCAGGTTCTTTCAGTTCCAGGTCTGCAAATGTATCTTCTATAAAACAGAGGACCCCATGAAATCTAGGAGATCCGTTATCAGAATTCACAACTTAGTTTAATGCAGATATGTAGAGCTTAGTTGGCAGGTCTCAGGGTGGGGTACGCTTAAGCCTTCTGCCTCGCTTATAAACACCGACCCCCCCCCCCCGCCATGTCATCAATCCAAATCATGTGTGCAGACCAACACAACTGGTGAGGAGGAGGGCAGGATGCACACACATTGCATACACACCTATACTGGATGAAACATCTTTGGATGGGAAGTATACAATAACTCAACAGACAATGGTCCAGAGAACCATTTGAAGTGTGCCATTTACATAATGGAATTTTCCAGCCACTTCTTCCATGTTGCAGAGCATGCAAAAAAAGCTTTTTCTGAAAGTCAAGGGTTGTTCCCCACCCACCTACATGGGTGAAAGTGCTTTTCTGATCCCTGAAAGAAAATGTGAATCAAACCAAACATCCTTTTTCAGACTTGAAGGGAAGTTGAAAGAGAGAGGAGTACTCAGCACTATTCCGACCAGTTTTGCCTTTGGTCTACAGATTCTTCTGTCGCTTCAAAATAATTAATACAATATCTGTGTAGGTGAGACTGAGACATGAAATGTCCGCAAACAGAAGATGGGCAAAATTTTCAATTGTAGTTTTCCTGGCTGTAAGTCCCTTTCAGCCCATGATTGCATCAGTCTGCAATCCATCCCCCTCCCTCCATTAGCACAAATATTTGGACATATTTTTGTTAGTATTCATCTAATATGCCCATCTTTGCTGTGCACACTTCAGGCATTTTCCCCTAGGACAGCCTATCTGTGTGCTTGAAAGGGACATACTTTTCCCTAATGTGCAAATTTTGTTCACTTTTCTTGAGTATTGACAAAATTCCAAGAAGTGTTGATACCACTATACAAGCTCTTACTAGTCTGAGTGCTGGTTTAGGAGGTGTTAATTAAGTCTGTATAAAAATTCAGACCAAACTATCCAGCTGCAGTGAGAACCATAGGAAATGATTTTCAAGCCGTTTTCAGCTCTCAGATATTGTTGCCTGGATTGGCCCGCGCAGTGAGGCCATACTCCCCCCTCCCCTTCGCCAGGGCCAAGAGACAGAAGCCTTCCTTTTGCAAGCAGCGGCTGGTCCCTGCTGAACCAGAAGGCCAGGTCTCCCGGCACTGGCATTGGAAAGCAGATGAGCTGGCTGAGCGTATCGGCAAGGCAACTACTAAAACTACAGCGTACAGAAGGGGGAGGTTCACAAGCGGGTGCACCACATCCTGGATCCTGCTACACTATTTCAACACCCAGGCTGTGCGGCACATGATGAGCAAAGCCTGTAACTGAGCTATGCTCCCCCAAGGACACAAGGGGGCTTCAGAAAAGCCCAACACAAGTGACTTCATTGCAGTCCTTGGCCTGTCATTCCCAAGGAACTGTGAGCACTTGAGAACTGAGGAAACTAGGTTTGCTTTTCCCTAGGTGGTGGAGATCAATAACTATGAGCATCCTTTGCCCTGCAGGTGCCAGGTCATCCAGTCTAAAATAGGGACAACATACAGAATCACCAGAAGTAAGAAACCAAGAATTAGTTCAAGCTTCACTCCGGAAAAGAGCCATAGAGCTGAGATCAAAAAGGCCCCCAAGTCCAAACCACAGTTTGCCACAAGATACAAGAAAATCAGGAAATTAATGGGAAAATAATTGAAGGAATACATGCTATTAAAATGTAATGGTTTCTGTCTCCAAAGAACCACAACTACTAGCCTCCTCATGCATCATTTGACCCTCTGTCCTCTTCCCCACACTCTCAATCAATTGTGAATTTCTCCTGCCACCACACTGCACTCCCATGGATTAACTCATCCATGTCCTGTACCAAGGGTGGGCAGAAGGTAGATCTTCTGATATGTTGAATTTCAACTCTCAGAAGACTGTGCTAATGGTCAAGAATGCTGGGAGCTGAAGTACAGAAATATGCAGTCTCCCTCCTGCTCACCTGTGACCTACACTGCAGGTGCCACAATAAGGGAGAATGGGAGACAAAAGGCAACAAGTGATTCCAGTGACCAAAGCACAACTGGCTGACTTCTAATACAGGCTGAGTAATTCAAGCATCATAAGCATGCTTTCAATTGTGGTTAACAAAAAATGCAACCCACCTCCTTCCTTTCCGACACCTAAGCAACCCTTCAGTTCTTGTAGTGAGATGGACTTGTCTTTGTCAATATCACAGTAGTCGGTGAAGCGCCGTGTACATTTCTTGGGCTTGGCTTTCTTCTTCACGTAGCGCTTAAAGGGCTTCATCTCCCTTTTGTTGATGTCGCTGCTGTTGTTGTTGTCCAGCTGACGGAAGTACCAATGCACCACCCGCTCCTCCAAGGTGTGGCTGGGGTCAGGCTCAGAGAACCTTGAGAGTAAGAAGACTTGCAGGAATGTAACTCTACTTTTGGAGATGTACACAAACCCGCACACCCCAACTCACAAGCCAGGCCCTCAGTAGACTTCAGCTTTGTTCTTTCAGGCCAAGAATGCCAGGCATCTGGTTCCAGAGGGAACTGTACATTAGATTTTGAGGAGGATTACAGGCACTCTTTTCTACCATCATGTGGAAGCGCAGTTCCTGTCTTTGTCTGCTTCTTAGTACCACAGAATGTACATCCAAAGAGCTATGTCACCAATAGAGATATTAGGACATTTTTGGGATAAGGAACAACAAAAAGGTTGGAAGAAGGGGAGAAAAGAACCCTTTAGTCCTGCAGAGCTGCAAGGTGCTGCCAAAGGATGGAGAATGACAGAAAGATGCCTAAATGAGAATTGTTGAATAGGTGGAAATAGACATGATCACATTAGATGCCATTTTTAAAGTATTCCATACAAAGTGCAGTGTAGTAAGACAACAGTCACAATACATGTTGCTATGCCCAAACCATCATAGGTTGTAATATTCATTTCCACATTTTAAAATCTCTAATTGAAAATGAAGAACAAGTCATTGGTTATCAGGGTGGCTGGCTGCACTGGAAAAACCACCCTGTAGGAATCATGGGTAGCAATGCCTGATGGGCTGTCACATCATGCAAGCACAGTTCAGACAATACAACAACCCACACCCAAGAGTTGAATATGGGTTGAGAGTGTGGGTTGTCATTGAATCATAGCTTGTTGTTAAAACATGAATTTTCATGTTACTTGAAGCCAGCCATGCCAACAAACATGGTTTGTTAAGTGTAAACAACCCACAGTTCACAACCCAACTACAAACCATGGGTTCTCATTATAGGTTGTTTGTGGATAACAAACCATGGTTTATCTTGGCCAGGTTCAGACAAAACAATAAACTATGCTTCCAGAAAAAACCATAGGTTCGGCAACAACCCATAGTCCCAAATGTGAGTTATTTTATTGTCTGAACTTGGTAAGGGTATAGACGAGTGGAGTGCTAACAAAGTTTCCTGCTGTTGTTTGCTTCTAGCTGGATGTAGCATACATAACCTTCAATAAGGGAAGGACAGGAAACAAAGGTGTTTGAAGGGCATTTTATAACAGCTGAATGGATCCAAAGTATTGATCAGTGCTGATCTTCTCGGTCCTCCCTAGCATTACCAGTCCTCCAGTTTTAAATTGTGAATCTGCAGTGCACAAAAGAAAGATTCTTTCAGTTTGTATTTTACCTTAACTGTTGAAGAAAAGCAGTATAAAAACTTCTCAAAACGGCTGAAAGTGTGCTATGAGGTAAGATATTTTAGTTTTAACCCACAAGATACCATCTTGAAATTGCCAGTGTGTTTTCACCGCATAGAAATTATCTAGACATGCTCTGAACTCTATCTAGGACTTCATATTATTCAAGATTTGACAACCAATCGCTCTAGAAATAACTAAGAGAATATGGCAGACTTCTGATAACAGAGGGTTCAAGTAACTTACAGATAATAAACATTTTACTTCATAAAATAGTAAAGGACTAATGTAATAAACAACTTGGAATCAAATTGAAATTAGTGCCCTTCATTGTTTGTCTAACACAGCCCTTGGTGAAGCAGGTCTACAACTTACATTTGATTGAGAAGGGCTTGTCTTAGCAATTTTTAAATAGATTATGTAAAATCTACTGCCAGCCTTCTGTAACAGCAGCTTTCACACAGTTGCTTCTCTCCTGGCCAAATCCACCAGGAAAAGAGGAGGACAAAGGAACAGAGAGTCAGGCTCTTACCAGCTTACGATTTCCCTACAGGACACCATCTCTCACTAAATTTGGGCCACATGAAAGATCCTCTGAACTGCAAGTCTTGCAGAAAACTTGCAGTAAATCTGTTCAGAAAGATTAGTTTTCCTTGCAGTCTACCACATGCCACAAATGCAATAAATTAAGGGACAGTAGGAAGTCTAAAGAGCCTACTTTCCTTGACCACATCAGAACAAAACTAGCAGTCCCTTTAATGCCACACACAAAAATAATTCACAGAAAGACTAATACATGTATACACTGGGAAACAGCATTCCCTCTTCCCCTTCCCCTGCCTGCCCCAGGTTAATTGGGCCAACAAAAACATGTTTATGTCATCACTTTGAGAAGACAGGATGTTTCCTCCCTCGTCCATGGACCAGGCCAGGACCATGAAATGGCTGACTTGGGAGCCCTGAATTCCAGGTTCCATCTATGACAATGTCCACATTGTGAAGCCCTACATACAGTATATTATGATCTACCTCAAAGCCACACTTTAGTTGCCCATAAAGGAAAGGGATAAGAGCATTTGTAGTGTGCTGAAAAAGTGGTGATGCGCATCAGATTCCTCTAGAGGAGTGGAGCAGGGGTACAGAACCTCAGGCCAGAGGCCAAATCCAGCCCCACTAGAGTCCTAATCTGACCCCCAAAGGCCCTACCCTGTCTCCACAGCCACAGAACATCTGGCAGTTTTCCAGCTTATGTAGGCTTTTCTCTGTTCTAAAAGGATGCTGTGCTTCCCCTAAGGCTCAGCTGCTGGCAGCAAGCACTTTTAGCTGAAAGATACCGGCATTTCTGGCCTCTCTGTTTTGCCTTTGGCTACACCCACTACTGGACTGCAGCCCCTGAGCCCCTCTCCAGATCAGCATGTCATCTTCAGGGTGGAAGAGTTACAGCACTTCTGAATTAGACTGATCACTGAGCCAAGGGTCCAACTGAAGCTGAGACCTGATCCTTGAAAGGCATGCTTACCACCACCATATATAATGCAAGGCTTGGCATTCCTAGTTTAAGAATGAAGGGGCAGGCAGGGGGTAATGGGTTAATATGGGGATTGTCTCCTTGCATGATTCCTCCAACAACTTATTCCCTACAGCTGACCTGTTATACTGGAGTAAGACCAACTGGGAGAAAAGTCCCAGGTGGAGGTGAGATAAATGGCAAGCTTGGATAAGGTTATTCAACCTTCAACCCCAGAGCTCTTGAAACTGGACTCTCAACCTCAACCCCACTTTAGATGTGATTGAGACAAGTCTGCACTTAAAGTGTGAGGGTTTTCTGCAATGACTTTTTCACAGTTGTGGGCAATTTTAAGATTCTCATGGCTTACTCAGCACTGGGAACAGAGATGCAAAGCAGGTTCAGGGTAAAGTAGCCCTGAATGTCTTTATACGGGTCATACAAATCCTCAAATCCCAGCAAGGAGGCTTTTCAGCCATTATTCCAAGCTTCTTCTTTTAGAATCTAAACCGATAATACATTCATGAAGAAAAAAAAATCACAAGTGGGATTTTTTTGGCTAGGTAGGTTAATTTAGTTACATTTTTGAAGCTGCATTTTAGGCACAGATGTGATGTTTTGATTCTATCTGATCCTTTTTTTGGTTTGAGCACTTGTAAGGTTTCCTTAAATTGAAATGTTTTTCAGTTAATTAATCCAGCATAGCCTAGTCTTCTGAGATAATGAATGCAAAATGCTTTGAACAATGCAAAGTGTAGTGCAAAGTTAAGTAGCAGTATTCTCATCTTCCAGCAATCTGATGAAAATGCTGCCTGGGCAATAATTAATAAAGCCAAACACAGGTAAATGCAACTGCCTACTAATAACCTCCTTGGAAACATGTTGAATTGCAGGTACAATTGCCCAGCAGGGTTTCCAAAGGAGAGGAAGTTGCTGAGTGAACATCTGTGGAAGATGGAGAATACTTGCTAAGGTGTTCTGCAGATTTGACGGTTTCTGGTCCTCCCATCAAGATGGAAACAGTCATTCGTGACGGGACATGAGGGATGAGGATTGCGGAGGACAGCAGAAGTGAACAGCAGTGCCACTAACCTCACTCAGAAACAAAGCCTGTACTAATCAGCATCATGTGCAATCCTGTCTCCTGCCAGATACATCAGAGTTTAACTGCAGGGCAGAATATGCTCCTTGACAAATATGAGGAGGCGTGGAGCTCGCACACTGGATTTCCCAGAGCAAGAGGCAGATTTACTGCTCTGCACAAGTGATGTGACATTCATCGGCAGCAGGGCTTGCACCCAGTGGCTGACTGCTGGAAACCAGTCAGGCTCATTCTAAACCAGTCTAAATGCAGTCCCTCCCTAGTAAATGTCACTCACAAGAAAGGGTCAGTCTCACCACAAACTGGCCCTGTTTATTTAAGTCTTCATATTCCTCCTCTCCTTAAGGAACCCAAAGCAGCTAACAAGGTAAGTTCAGAGAACAAGTGCTGAAAATGATTTAATGGCAGGAATCAATACAATAAAGCAGCTGTAACACACTAGAAGATCAAAGAGAACAAGATAAAAATAGGGCAAAGAGTGAAAAAAATCACCCACAGTGACTAAAGCAGCTTCAAAATGGGAGCCAACATTTATGGCCCAATAGCCTTCCTAAAAAGGAAAAATTTGGGCATCTTTACCAAATGCCATTAAAGAGGGAATGAGATGCAGAGGGAGGGAGATCCCGGTCCCAAGCGGCCACATTTCTGGTTATCCTGGGATTGTGGGTCTCTGACAAACTCAGGAAACAGAAGGATTCGCGTGAGGAAATGCAGTTTTTCAGATATCTTGCTCCTGAACTAGAGAGGGCTCTCAATGGTCATCAGCAGCAATTTGCATTGTGTCCAAAGGCAAATGGAAATCCAGTGCAGCTGTCTCCATGGGGAAGCCACATGACCCCCTATATGGGACCCACCTTGACAGGCTGGCCTCCATGTTCTGGACCAACTGTAGTGCCATCTGCTGGCAGAGAGGCGCAAGCTGACACAAGTGCCCAGAAGGAGAGGAGGAGCCTCTCTTTAGGCAGGATCCTACCCAAAGTGCTTCTCAGGGAGAAGGTGACCATAAACTAGTGGTGGAAATGCTAATTGAAGAGAGAGACAGCAAGAATTAATCCATACCTTTCTCCTGCCTAGATACAGTGGGCATTTACCTCCCCACATGATCCTGACCACATTCTTTGCAAGGCAGTCACATTATTTTGGGTGGAATTTATGTCCATGTAGTGTGTTTAAAACCAAATGTCAGTCCAGAATGTATATTTTCCTCATTACATAGAAGAGATTTCTATCTCATGAAGCTCCTCGACCTTTTGGGGTCAGTGGGCACACTTGAAATGTTGAAAAGCCGCTGGAGGCACTCAGAAAATGGCTGTTGTGGTTGGTGGCTGGCCCATTCATGAAATGGCTGCCAGGGTGACCATGATAAGCCACACACACAGATCTCCCAAAAGGCCTGTGGGAATGACCGAAAGAAAAATTACTTGCCAAAGAATCTACATGCAGGCCAAAGCCTGAGAAACACTTTAGAACTGAAAGAAAGATGCATGGCAGCACCTTGCTTTACAGCATGCCAGCATTTGAGGAAAAAAAGTCACAAACATCTTATGAGAAGGAGCAAAACTCAGGAGGGGAAGGGAGCCTGGCAAATGGCAGGAAAACTGTCCATGAGCACACTAGTGTTCACGGGCACCATGTTGGAGAAACTTGCTCTAGAAAATTTGTAACATCTGAAGAAGGCCTAACAGGCATTTAAGTAACATTGAAGAATGTGGTGGAGGTGGGACAGGATTAAACTCAGCTTCAGTAGGTCTAAATCTGGTCCCTTCCTGTTTTAAAAAGATGCAGAGAACCTAGAAAGGGCTCAGAGGAGGGCAACAAAGATGGAAACTAAGCCCTACAATGAGAGACTGAGGGAACTGGGCATGTTCAACCTCAAGAAGAGAAGACTACAAGAGGATATGATAGCACTCCACAAGTACCTGAAAGGCTCTCACAAAGAGGAAGGAAAAGACCCCGCCGCCCCCCACTCATCCCTGAATGGAGGACATGGAACAACAAACTTAAACTGCAGCACAACCAACTTGCACTGCAGATTCAGACTAGATATCAGGAAAAGTTTCCCAACTGCCAGAGCAATACGACAGGGAAACCAGTTGCTCGGAAAGGTGGTCGGCTCTCCCACACTAGAGACATCCAAAAAGAAACTGGACCCGATGGCCTTCATGACCCCTTCCAACTCTACTATTCTATGAGTCAATGAATCTCAAGGTGAAATGCTGCCATTTAGGAAACCTGTTGACTAATACATTGTCCAAGTGCCTGATCAATAGGAATCTCCTACAGTCCATCTCTGAGCTAAGGCTGAACAAATATCAGGCAATCAGCAAACAAAAAACAAGCGATTCCTAGAATTTCCATCTAAGCACGTAGGGAGGGACTGAAGAAAAATTCCCCACTGGAAAAGGATGTTGGTCTGGGTGTTAAGAGCATCTCTCCCAGGAAGTGAAAGAGCTGGACAGAGGCAGCAGATGAAATTGCACCAAGGTTTTCTGCAGGTACAGGTGCTAGGCTGTAGATTTCCCTAAAGACCCCCTGACACAGGCACCAGACAACTTCCACCAAGAACACGGGCTGGCACCTTAGCTCAGGGCTGTGCCGGCTAAACTATACTTTCTTTTCTATTTGCCATTTGCCACTGAACTGTCACTCTTCACTGTACATTGCTTTGTGCTCAAAATCCATCCATCCCTTTTCCCATTCTGCACTTTTCCTTCAATCCTCAATAAATCTTTTACCTGGTTTCACCAAAATCAAGACCAGGTGCTTTAGCGTGAAATGGGGGCTGCTCTCAAAGGCGCATACTGCATTATTGGTCAAGCTAATGGCTAATATAGCAGCCAGGCTGTATGGAATGTGCTGAGCAAAACCTGTAAGCTGGCTGCTTTCCCCTAAGGCACAAGGGGGTTGCAAAGAAACCCAAAACACGAAAGGTCCTCGCCTGACATTCCAAAGCACTTGAGGCCTGGGTTGGTTTACTCTCCGTGGGGGCAGCCAGTACCAGTTGCTGGTGCTGCACCAGACCTTTCAACCATAGCACCTGGGTAGCCGCGGCCTGAAAATGCTTCCCACCCATTTTAGAGAAAAGGCAGACATTGTGGGAATGTGTTGGCTTATTTTTCTTGTAACACAGGAACAAGCCATAAATGATAGATATTATTTTAATGTAATCGTTTGAATTCTCTCTTTTAATAAAATGGAATGGTCGAGGCATAGCATTTGAGGACTAGTCATGCTAAATGAAGCTCCCAGATGTTCATATTACAGCTACTCCATATCATAAATCATGGCTGAGGACAAACAGATGGCGAAGAATCCCTGGATAGCAAAAGGTGCTTGTCCCACATGGTGCAAGTTATTGAAAAGTCCTTCATTTGGCACCACCCTGTTTTCACTCCCTACTGATACTAAAGTAACTTGGCATAAAAGGCACCCGCGCTCTGGGCCATAAGCCTAGTGCTGAAGCCCGCAGCCCCAAAGGATCCTCTTTTCACACAGAGCTATGTTGAAATCCAGCCCCTCAGAAAAATTAGTTATTGGCAAGGTGAGATAAGTGTGTGTGCCTGTGTGTGCGCGTGCACACCTGCATGCACATACCGATTTCCCTTTTTACATGTAATCCCCCCAGAAGTGTCTCTATTTCCCTGGTTCATTTTTTAAAGACTGCTGCTTACAATGGCCCAGAGACTGAAACCCAAACAACCAAGGATGCCAGATATTCTCTGGAGTTTTCTTTCCCCTCTGACTCACTGAATTTGATACCATAAACTTACACAAAGCTGAAGTCAAGCCACTTCTAGCCTAGCAAGGAAAAAACATGTTTCTACCACAGAGGTTTTTGGTTTGTTATTTTTTAAATCCAATTATCATCTGCACAGAAATACAGATTAGCACTGCATGCTGAACATTCCAGCCATCAGTGGACTGCAGAACATTCCATTCGCAGACATCCAGCCACCAATGTGCTTAACAAGATAAAACTTACAAATTAAGCTATACTTTCAAGAGGCCACTGAAAATACCAGCATTGTATACCATGAGATATGAAGTTTCATCCTTAGAAATATTTCCCAGTTGTCATGGGAAACTGAAGGTCACATAACTTGTCCCTCAGTTTTTCCCTTCTGAAGGCACGGACCTATGTACTGCTAATGAAAACAACAGTTGACTCGCACATGTCTCTTCGGCCCTCAGTGCCTGCAACATTACATGGTGCCTTGCAAGTGTGAATAAGACACTGCAGGTCAACCTCCACAGAGAGCGCTTCCAAATCGCCCCAAGTGAAAGCAGTTCACACATTAGGATCAAATGTGAGAAGGAATCAAGATGTTTGTGAATGTGTGAACCAGCCCTGTGTACCTTCTGGAAAGTGTGAAGAAATCAGATGATGTCATGTTTATGCATGTGTAAACCAGTTGATATTCTCTAGTGAATCTAAGAATAAAGGAAAGGATCTCAATGAAGTACATGTACCTTGCTGATGCTTCTGGATTAATAATAGATATCATCACCCAGATGCTAATAATTAGCCATTCATGACCACTTGGTTGTAAGGCAAGAGTGGACAATTTTGGCAGTTCCAGAAGCCATTTCCAGCCCCTGAAGCTCTCCCTCGCAGGCTTCACTTCTACCATCAAGGTTAGTGCCCCAATTTGCTGTCACTTGTTACCAGCAAACTATTATGCAAAGTTACAGTGGCCACACTGAACATTAAAACAAGCTAAATGTGCCCACTGCAGCATTCCGTAGTGGTTTCCCTCAATATCTGGCAATAAATTAGTATTTTCTTAATTGCCCCCACTGTGAGTTTTGGCAATGTGGCAGTGGCAAGGTGGTGTGGGTGGGGGGCAGCAGATGCAGCCTGTGGACCACATGATTCCCACCTTTGCTCGAAAGCCCTTGAAGACCAAAGGCTAAAAAGTCAAACTAGATGAGACAGGGCACATCCGGTTTGTGTTGCCATATATATTTATAATGCGGAAGAGTGGTTAACATGAAAGGGAGCACAAGGGGCAGGAAAAGGACCCTTGTCCTTCTTCTCTTTCTTAGCTCTCTACATGCCCCTGCTTTAAGTAATCTTCTTTCAGCTCGGCTTCGATCTTGGAAGTGAATGAGGGAGGAATAACACTGCTTGAAGACAGAGAGCACAACGAGGCAAGGTAGGTAAAGGGCAGATTTTGCTCTCATCTTCTGCACACTCCTTTTCATGTAAAGAGCAGACTCTTGCTTTATATGTGAACAGAGCAAACTGAAGGATAAACTATATGTGTCTGTGCTAGCTCAGCCTGAAATAGCAAACACAGGTTTCCTTCATACAAACAGGGAAAGATGGGGAAGGGGACTGTTTGGGTTTCCTGTGACAGGGCGCAGCATGTGAACTTCCCTTGTGCATTACTCCACTGGAATCATGTCCTGTTCCGAGTCAAAGATTAGCCACACCTCCAGATCTTCGGCTGTCTGGTTTTCTGTTCAGCCTGGATGCCTTTCAAACTCACCTCCCGCCTCCAGCAGGTGCTGCTGAATTAATGGCCTGTACCATGTCTGTGGTGAGAGCATCTAGTAGACTGGTAATGAATTCCACTTTTTTCCCTTCTGGGCAGCCTACGAAAGGGACAGAAACTTGGTTTGAACAAATGGCAGACATAACAGGGTTCTCTTTTTTTCTGAGACCACGTCTGTGCTATATCAACATGCCACATTTTGTGTGGGTTCAGTTTAGATTTGCAGATGGCCTAAATTCACCTGCGCCCTCAGGCATGACTGTATACATATCCATAGGACGACCTCCAAGGTAAGCTTGACATAGAGCTATCACTGAAAAATTGCACATCCCTCTACAGTGTAAGCACTGTTGCACAGATCCATTCCACAAGACCAGCATAGTGATCATAACTGGCCAAATAAAAAATCATCCAAAGACAGAAAAAATGCAAAACAGAAGGAAAGGGTGAGGGAATTTGGAGAACACAAGGCCTCCTGAACAATTGCTCACCATAATAGCCAAGTCTGTGGGTAACACTGATTTCAGCTCATATTAATGTTTCAAATTATAGTCCGAGAATCGTATAGCTTTCTTTAAAGTGCCACAACACAGACCTGGCTGCTGGTGGCACTAACAATAATTAATTCCACCAGAGGACTAAATTCTGAGAGGACTCGGGATTCTGCCACCAGAGGACTGGAAATCCCCAGAGGACTGAAATGTGGGGTACAAATGGAAAAAAAGAAATAATTATTAAATTGTTTGCAGCAGATGGTGAACATCGGCAGAGTGCTAAAGTATATTGCATTGATCATTGTTCATAGCAGACTGGTATTATAGATGAGCAAACACAGACGTGCTGGAGAGACTCTTTGAGCAGTCAAGCCAGTCACCCTGGGCATCCTCCTCATTTTTGTACCAAATCATGGGAGGCAGAGTGAAGCCAGGAAAGAGAGGCACCTATTGGCTTTATACTTAAGATGAGAAGAGAAAATATTAGGCAGCATCCAATTGCTGCTATTGCTCTTCTGCTCATTTTGTTGCACCAGCAGGACCTACCACTAGGACAATAGGAAGCAAAACCGTTGTTTCTGGGTTAAGACAGGCCCTTCCCATAAGCTCCACTTCAGAAATGAGGTCCTTCTCATTTCCTGTTGCTTTATGAAGTTCCAGTTCCCTGTTGGATTAGTAGTGGTACCATCAGGCACATGAGAAACACAGAAACAGAGCGAGTCAGAAGGGGTCTCTCAGGCCATCTAGTCTGACCCCCGGCTCCGGCCGGCTCTGCTCACGACACACCCACCATGTGCATGTCCAGCCCATCTTTGAACACCCTCACTGATGGGGCCTCAACGACCTCTCGTGGAAGCCCATTCCACACCCTCGGGGTCCTGACTGTCAGGAAGTGCTTCCTGGCATCCAAATGGAACCTTGGCTCCCTGAGCTTTGCTTCATTGGAGCGTGTCCTGCCTTCCTCTGCAGGGGAGAACAGGTCTCTACCCATCTCCGTGTGACATCCCCTCACATACCTGTATGTCGCCAACATATCCCCTCTGAGTCCCCTCTTCTCCAGGCTGAAGAGACCCAGATCCCTCAGTTTCGCCTCATACCCCATCCCCTGCAAACCGGCCACCAACCTTGTGGCCCTACGCTGCACTGACTCTAACCTGGCTATATCCTTTCTGTAATGAGGGGCCCAGAACTGAGTACAATTATTATTATTATTATTATTATTATATTATTATTATTATTATTATTATTATTATTATTAGAACATTTCTATGCCGCCCCTTGCCGAAGCCTCGGGGTGGCTTACAACACAATAAAATACAATGCAATACAAAAATAACAATATAAAATTAAAATTAATAATATAAAATAAATTATATATATATATATATATGATATAAAAGAAGTGATAAAAGAAAAGAAGTCGCCCTGGCCAGATAAATAAGTAAATATTGTTAACAATTAAAATGACGTTTAAATAAAAAGGTCTTCACCTGGCGCCGAAAAACAAATAACGACGGCGCCAGGTGGACCTCTCTGGGGAGCACATTCCATAGATTGGGCGCCACCGCAGAGAAAGCCCTCCTCCGAGTACCTACCCTCCTAATTTCTTTCACGGAGGGTTCCCGGAGAAGGGCCTCTCCTGCAGATCTCAAGGGGCGGTCAGGCATATATGGATGTAAGCGCTCCTTCAGGTAACCAGGTCCCAAGCCGTTTAGGGCTTTATAGGTCATAACCAACACCTTGAATTGGGCCCGGACTTAAATGGGAAGCCAGTGAAGCTGTCGGAGGACTGGAGTCATGTGAACATAACGCCCCATCCCCATCAGCAACCTGGCAGCTCTATTTTGAACCAAATGAAGTATCCGGACCGTCTTCAAGGGAAGCCCCACATAAAGCGCATTACAGAAGTCAAGGCGGGAAGTCACCAGCGCGTGTGTCACCGTCGCCAGGCAGTCGTACTCCAATGCTAATGAGCATATGAGAATGAATTTTCTCTGCCGTTGTGAGGCAGCAGGAAACATATGAGCACAGATAAAGCCCAGCTGTGCAGTTCTTTGGCTAAATGTCCCTTAAAAAATCTCTTGGGCATCCTCCCCATTGGTATTAATCTTAGTTTTTAATGCAGACGCAAGCAAGAGAGATACAGCAGGACAAGGAACGTTTTCTTCCATGCTGACCTGGAAGTTCTCTGTCTTTGAATGGGTCATCATTTTCTGGGATCCTCGATCGGGCATTGCTCTCACACACAGGCGTCTCATATCTAGAGAGTGAAGGAAAAAAAATTAAACACTGTAAACAGGGAGCTTTGAATGAATGAATGATTGAATTATATTCTTAAGGGATGGATTTTAATGGCTTACATGCCCCTCCTCAAATAGCTCAGTGGGGGCTGCCATACCTTTTCCCCATACAATGTCCCTGGGAACCACACTAAAGAATTGTTAGGGTTAGTTTTCAACATATCTATCAGCCATGTTGCTGGGCTCAGAAGAAGGGACAAGGAGGCAGGGAGCCTTCAGATCATTCCATAAATGGAATTAGTTCCCTGATCCAAACTTTCGGTGGGGGGGGGGGGCTCCTGGACTTCAGGAATCGTTTGCACATCTGCCCTCTGAGACTAATTCAGCCCAGCCCTAGTTGCAGCACAAAGGATACAATTCCTGCACAGTATTATCTCATCCCTCATTGTCACCAGCTTTGCACATGTGGAGCAGGTGGGAGGGGGTGCGGCAAAAGAACTGAGTCTGGGTGTGCGAAGAAGAGAAGAATGGATCCTGCTGGACCAGAGGAGGAGACTCCACAGGTTCTCACATTCGTTGCCTGCACCTTTCCCCCCCAGGCCAGTTCTAGACAGCTGGAAGGGGACAAGAAGGGTGGAAGGAGAGGGGTGCCAAGACGCTCCCCACTGCCTTCCAGCAATTCTTCCAGAACACCAGCAAACTAGAACTTCCTCCTCAGCTATATATCAGTGAACTCCCCCCACCACCTCTCAGTCATACTCTGCAGTTACGCAGGCCAGTACACATAACATGGTTCCCTCGTTCCATGCACACATATGTAACCTGTCCTCAGGTCCCCAGCATGTCTCTCCACCCACCCACCACCTTTTGCTGGTCCTATCCTGCTTTCAGAGCAGGGCGAACACAAGCCACTCTGCTGCCTGCAGAAAAGAGCATGATGCTACCAGAGGGACCAGCAGTTGGCTCTTTCCTCGGTGCTGACTATGAGATAGTATCCTCACTACATGCGAGGCAAGAGGCTAGTTCAGGGCAGAGGGCAGGGCATTCTATGTGAGACACGCAGCTCTGCTTCCAGAAAAAGGGAACAGCCAGGGTGCTGAGGAAGAGCAGCCAGGAGGTTGCAACTGTGCATCTGCAACCTGGAGCAGCCTCTGAGCGCTGCCTAATGGAAGGGCCGGCCCTGTTTCAGAGAGCTGTCAGCATCTAGGAGGCTGCTGTTCTTCTAAAAATCTCAAAACCCACTTGAGGACTTTAAGGTAACACAAAACATCAGTAAACACAGTATCAAGGCATGCCAATCTACACCACTGCTTCCCAGCATATTGCACAATGTTGCTCCATACTTTCAGGAAATATAGTAAAGAGGCAGGAGGAAAATTCAAATTTTGTGTTCTGCCACTTATAACGGCAATTTTTCATATTATGGCAAAATTCAAGATTATACAAGTTCAATATGTCTGCTTCCCAATTAAGGTGGAAATGTCAGCTGTGTATGTGGAAACTCAAAGAAAGCCCAAAGTTTTCATAAAATATGCTAAATCACTTAAAATATGAAAATTTTGGATTGCCACCTGGTTAGGCTTAAACAATGGGTTTTAAACCAGTTGTACAAGAATTTCAAGTGGGGAACAGACACATCTTGAGGGTTTTTGAAAATCATATGCAGCATCAGCAGTCAGACACAGGAAATTAAAACTGAATACTATTTTACTTCTTTAACACCTAAATGAGTCATGGTTATTGCTCTCCGCTGGAAGACATGGCAAAAATCCTCTCTGCTCTAGGCTCAACTGTGCTAGTTATTAACTGGAAAATTGTCTTGCAGATTAGAAAGGCAGGATGGAAGGAGAGTAGAGCAGAACTGGCTTTCTCAAGCAGTGGTCCCCCTCCACTTTTGCTTTCTAATACATATGTGTAAATTCAAAGAAAATGCTTCTTACCGGGTGGAGGTACCAGGTAGGGGACGACCTGTGTCTACCAGAACACACCAGCAATATCCGGTGGATTGATGACACTGCACTGGTTTGTACAACCCTCCAGGAGCACATTCAGGGATAACAATCCCTTCCCGGGGATTTTGCTTGGCCTCTTCAAGAGCACTTTGCCTCTCCTGGTCACATGAATTAACTTTCTCTGGAACAGAAAGCACAAGGAGATCATTGCCTGTCAGGTGTATAGAAGAGAAGCCCTTCTATGCAACTCTGTCCCCCTCTTTGGAGAGAGACTTACAGTCTAAAACCATAAACAAGCTTAATGTGCAATCACTCAAGTAGTGTGTAGTGCAGAACTGCAGTTTAAGTTTTCATATGTACACATTTTTAATTACCCTAATTTAGATGCTTATAATCAGGGCTTTTTTTGTCATAGAACGCACCGTTCCGGCACCTTTTTTTTCCAATGGATTTTACGAAGTGATTTTGAATCGTAGCAGATCAGCAGCAAACATCATTAACATAGTGCCTGCAAGCTGCTTTTCTGTCGGCTATCTGATAGTGAGATAGTGAGGGCGCTGCTCTCGGCTTCCGATGGACGGGCGCTGCTCCGCTTGGGATTGGTGTGTGTGGTCGCGCGCTTACTGCCAGCAACGTGAGTTCCGGCACCTTTTTTTTTTTTTTTTTACAAAAAAAGCACTGCGTATAATACTTCATCTTCCCTACAAGGCCTGTAGCAGGTGTGAGACCGAGAACATCTGAGGAAGTGCTCAAGCCAATGCTATGCCAAAATCTATCTCCAATTCAAGAATGTTCATTCATTCATCTTATATTCCACTATACTAGTTTGAAGACTCTCCAAGCAGATTACAATATTAAATAAAATAATAATATTTCATAAAATAACAATAATAAAAACAACCTACAATAAAACAGAGAAATATGCAGCTAAGATCAGATATTAATAACTTAAATATATTAAAGGTAAAAACAGGATAAATAATATCCAAGTATACAACCAATTATTAAAATGTCTGGAGAAGAGGTCTGTTTTCACCTGGTGCTGAAAAGACTGTGGAGATGGCACCCCATGAATGCCTCATTCTCAGGGTTCCTTTAAAAATCTTTCTCAAAATGCTGCTTTTGGGGTTAAGTTATTACTGCAAGATGGCTGAGGCTGCTGTGTGTGCTTTCTCATTACACATCTTTCCATTACTCTGCAGCCTCCCTTTCTGCCTGCCCTTCCTGATTCAGAAAAGTCTGATCTGGAGGTGAAGGACACCCTCCGCTAGGCTTTAACTGAAGTGCAGGAAGCTGTGCAGGCTGCCAGAAAAAAGAATGTCCAGTGGAGATTCAAGGCCTTCAGGTACCTCCCAAGTAAGGTAAGCAACAGGTACCACCAACACCCCACCCATGAGGATTTCTCCAAACTGTTCTCCTCTGAATGATTTTAAAGTAACTTCTTTTCTATCAAATGAATGAGAATAGTAAAAAAAAAAAGTACAAATGGAAGAAATGCTCAACCCTTTGTAGTACTTGTTAGCTGTGGTAGAAAAGATGCTGATGTCCAGAGATGCCTTTAGATTTCAACCCAGCGGTCTCTAGCTTGGGTTCTGTAGAAGCCTGAAGTTTCTTGGAAACTTAGCTGAAGGTCCTCCATGAAAGCTTCCCCAACAATAGACAAGCTTCCCTGAGCTTTTCAACCATTATTACTAATTCTCCCCCATGCTGTACAACCATATCTGAAGGTGCAGTGAGTCAGTCCATGGTCCACAGTGAGTCAGTCCATGGCTCAAGATCCCCAAGGGGGGTTCTATGGCAGATGTGATGAGAATCAGATTCACGGGCAGATAAAATGAATGCAGCATGGGTTCTTTGTGGCTGTAGCAGGCAACTCAGTGTCCTTCAGAGGGCTGGGTTACAAGCCCACCAATCCTCAACCACTGGCCAAGCTCGTTGGGGCTTATGGGGTTTGTAGGCCAAATTATCAGGAAGGTACCAGATTCTCCTCCGTGTTTAAAGCCACCACCCAGATATTGACAATAAATAAATCTCCACAGAGAAATCTACACAATCGTGCATTAATGAAGACTTTCCAACCATAAATACAACTTTGGCAAAAGGAGAGTGTAACTAGATCAGGACTGCCAAATGGAAGAGGCAGGACAGATCATTTACAAAAAATGTATAATGTTTGAAAAGCTCAAGCCTCAGCTGATATTTAAGCTGATTTCAAAATTGTGACAGGTTTTACTTAAAAAAAATAAATGGTGACTTTCTCTGCTGCATACAAACAAGGAGTCATTCAGTCAGAGGCTTCTGGGCATCCTTACAAATCAATTGCATCACAACTGCCAAATTGCTGAAACTCTCCGCCTGACAGCAATTTACACCTCTGCTGTCAAGGTGAGATGGGTCATTCATTTACTCAGATGCGGAGAAAGACGGCCAAATAATCCCCAGTACAGTTTGCTCAGCTCTTTAATTCATTTGTTTTATGCAACAAGCTGTGTGCATATGTGTGTGTTGCGGAGGTTGGGGTAGAGAAAACAAGCAAACTAAATGCTCTGCTGAAATGAACAGTATTCCAGGCCTAATTCTTCTGTATGCAGAGATGCGAAACAAAATGCTGAGTTGGAGTTCTAAGTCACACCCAGATCGGGAGCTGGAGCAAAACAAGTTGCAAGCTGAGAGCTACTTCCATGGATAGAACATAGGAAGCTGTCTTATAATGAATAAGACCATCGGTCCATCCAGCCCAGCACTGCGGGTACCACTGCAGATACTCGGCACTAGTCAGACCTCACCTGGAGTGTCCCGTTCTGGGCACCTAAGTTTAAAAATGATGCAGAAAAGCTACAAAGGGTTCAGAGGAGGGCAACAAGGATGATTCAGGGACTGGAAAAATGGCTCTGTGAGGAAAGATTGAGAGAACTGGGCATGTTCAGCCTCAGAAAGAGAAGAGTGGGGGCAGGGGATATGATAGCACTCTACAAGTACCTCAAAGGCTCTCACAAAGAGGATGGATGAGATCTCTCCTTGTTCATTCCAAAGCACAGAACACTGAATAATGGACTCAAGCTAAAAGAAAGCAGATTTAGACTAGAAACCAGGAAGAATTTCCTGACTGTTGGAGCAGTACGGCAATGGAGCCTATTACTTGGGGAACTTGTGGGCTCTCCCTTACTGGAGTCATTCAAAAAGTATTTGGACAGTCATCTAAACGGGATGGTGTAACTTAGTGTCCTGCAATAGCAGGGGCCTGGATCCAGTGGCCTTCTGGCCCCTTCTGACTCTACTATTCTATGAATCTATGAACAGCATGGCTTAGAGAAGCAATGGAGGCTTGCTTAAGCTGTGTTATTTATTTATAGTTGAATTTATAGTCTGCATTAATGAATAGTCCAGGAAGACTCTCTGAATGGATTTACAAGCCACATGAAAACAAAACGAACAGCGAGAATGAAAACAATATACAAGAATGAAAACAATATACAACAACTTAAAAGTCAATCCCCATCATAAAGACAAGCCACAACAATATAATATATAATATAATATACACATGTTATGTGGCAGCATGTGCTGAGCATCAATTGCCTCATTACCTACATGGGCATGGCTTGTCATTTCCTTTGAATCCAAGCAGCCTTCAAGTAAGTAGCCCATAGGCTGCTGTTGGGTAATCTGCAGATTGTCTTCCCCTGCAACAAGCCACATGATCTGGTGCAGATAGCATGATGAGCCACTCTTGGAAGGATAATGAGGCAAATGGTGCTCAGCACAGGCTGGGTCACTTGTCTAAGCTGCGGTGATCATGTGACCCAGGTCACTGACTGGCAGTGAGCAGTTTTTTGGGGCATGCTGGGAACTGAACCTGAGACTTGCTGCATGTAAAGTGCGTGCTCTACCTCTGAGCTACAGCCTCTGCCCGTTCCTCTCCTACAGATCCTCAGAAGGGTAGGAGAGAGCCCTTCTTCTTGCCATACTAATTTTCTAGGCTCCCAAACTAATTTTGTATGCATTTTGTCTTGCACATCTCCACCAGCACAACAAACCAGTGCAGTCCAGCTGTTGCTTTAATACCTCGTGTGTTGTTTACATGGGTTAGGAGTGAGTCTCATGAAAGGGTGATACTAAAGTTTCTTTGAATGAAAAGGTGGGCCAGTCCATTTCTGAGGCTAGAATTCTGAAGAATTCTATGCAAACTCTGGAGCTTTTAGTGTGAAGTAGAGAGTCTAAGGGTGTTTTTGAACAGGGAGGATGCCATGGTGCTGATCCAAGGAAAAGACGTACCAGGCCCTCCTCACACAGATGACTACATGAAAAGGGAATAAGGGGAAACGTCCATGGCTGGTAGGAAGATTGCAACAGCTATTTTAGTACAGACAGTCTTGGAAACCTTTCTTGCTTCTACAGTTATGCCTTAAACAACACGACCCCATTTCTGATTCCTTATATGTCAGGTTTTGGTGAAAACAACAACACCACTCAAAGAAATAAAGGGCATTCCTGATTCATCCCAGTAGAAGCCCAGGTAACGAGTGCTGGTTACTTTGCCCGTTGCATCACTACTTTTTGCAGGAAAGCCAAGGTACTGCTGCTCTTCAAACTTTTCAATAAATAATTTGCAAAATGTTATTTCAAACAATTAAGGCACTGTTGTAGGAATTCTGCATGCAGATAAACTCTTGTGCTATATGAACAAATGTTGCATGAGCAACAAGCTACACAAACTATTATTTGTAGTATTAATTTCTGAAGCAAAATATAGCTGTGTGTGGAACATCTGTGGTATCTGTTTGCTGATCAGAGGGGAAGCAAATGGCAATGATTCAAACAACTTGTACCACACATACGCACCGAGGATTAAAATAAGAACTCTAAGACAGTGTTCTCTTATTAAAAGCAACTATTGCCACTTAATTAAGAAATGGGACTTCCCATCATAAGACAGGGCAACTAGAATGAAATTAATGATCCTCAGCGGTAAAATTAATGGCCGTATCTATCTATGGAAAGCCAATCATGCTCATTATACTGAAGAGGCATGGAAGGTGGTTCTGCCAAGCAAAAGCTCTGCCAGGATAACAAAACTGAGGCCATTTTTCACAAAGTGAGAACATCACACCAGCTTATTGTTGTTGTGACTGTTGACAGTCAGCGTGCAAGCACTAACACCACTAACAACAAAGGCAAGCC